TTTTACGGAAGTCACAACGGTTCGTGAAAAATAGCTAGAACTTTAAGCAGGCTGTGTGCATTTTACTGTGGACTGACTGTTTTGAAACGTATATGGTAGTTAAATAGCCCCTAGACCTCAGTTATCGTGAAAAAAAGCCAGGAAATTTCAGTTTTGACAATATGGGACCTTTAATAATTTTAGCTAGATATAATTATTCCAAGGAATCTTTACATATATCCCTCATGGATTTTTTTGGAACTTTTTTGCCTCAAACACGGAGAAAGGAAAACAAATCCTAATAGTCATCAAAGTAGGCTTTTTTTTTTTTTTCAAGAAAACAATTTATTTTAAGGAATCACTGTGTGTATCCTTCATGGATATCATATTTTGTTCATATTACAGTTATAACAATTCGATTTTGTTTTGTATCAAAAAGAAAAAAAATCTTAACAGTCATAAAACTGGGCTTCATATTCATGTTCCTTTTTTTTAAAGAAAAATATAATTTATTTTAGCAATCATTTGGGCCAAATTCTAAGGAATCAATACATGTATCCTTCATGGATATGACAAGTCCATAATGCATTGCAACAATTTTGAGAGAAAACTCTCTCTAAAAAAATTAATTAATAAATAATTAATTGATATTTATAAAAAACATATAATGGCATTCCTATGTAAAAAACAAAACAAACAAAAAAAAAACATCTTAAAAATTGCCAGTATTTCATGCAGCACTGGCAAGGATAATGAAGACTGAAGTAATGGCTGCTGAAAGTTCAGCTTTGCATATTAAAGTATGTTAAAAAAGAAAACAATAATAAATTGTTTTATTTTAAAACAAATTGTATTTTAAATTGTAATGATATTTCACAATATTACTGTTTTACTGTATTTTTGATCAAATAAATACAGCATTGGTAAGCATCAGAGACTCTTTAAAAAACATAAAAAAAATCTTGAATGGTGCTGTAGACAGTGTCTTTATCATCAAGTAGAGCAGGACGGATACACGTGTCTAAATATGTGACAATAATGTTATTCTAAGACACTTACTAAATTCGACACAGGGAAACTCTGAAGGCTTAATACGTGAAATAGCTCCGGACGGGTTTAATAGAGCACTGCATCCACTAAGACTTCACTCACTGTTATAACCTACATAAAGCCCTGGAACAGAAACACAGTGTGTCCTGTGGAAGAAATGAGAGTGTTTGTGAAGTACTGCACTGTATATTATATAGTTCTATGCGTACAGCGTGACCCGTCTGTCTGATGTGAAAGGACGTCCTCGTGCCGCTGAAATCAAACACCTGAATGTGACCCATCAGGATTTTCATCTCTGATACCAGGAGCACACAAAGACTTTATGAACAACAGAAATACCTTCCTCTTCCTTCTGTCAGTGACTTCCTTCAGTCAATTCAGCACAATCTTGTTTAAAATCTCATGCATGAACTTCAACCTAGTTGTGCAAATTTCTATCTGCTGAAAGCGTATTCAGGGTTTCTGAAAATGTATATTTAAGACCAAGTCATTTTAAAGACAAAGTAAAGAAAATTCAAGGAATAAATTGAAGGAAGCCAACAATACGTCAATATGTTTTCTATTTGAATATATTTTAAAATGTCATTTATTCCTGCGATCAAAGCTGAATTTTCAGCATCATTCCGCCAGTCTTCAGTGTCACATGATCCTTCAGAAATCATTCTAATATGCTGATTTGCTGCTCAAGAAACATTTCTTATTATTATCATCAATGTTGAAAACAAGTTGTGCTGCTTAATATGTTTCTGTGGAAACTCCGATACATTTTTTTAGTATTCTTTGATGAATAGAAGGTCCAAAAGAACAGCATTTATTTGAAATAAAAATTGTATTAAGTTTAATGCGTACTTGGTAAATAAAAGTATTAATTTCTGTTTTTTTTTTTTAAGTGAACAGTGAATATTTAGTGTATATTTCATTCAATATTGGAAAGTACTGATTAAAAATGATTCTGAAATTTAACCAACTCATTAAAAAGAATCAGTGAAACCCACTTCACTATTCACATGGCATATCTTTTGTTTCCCAATATTTCTTGATCATCACATTCAATTCAGAAGACAAGCTCACAATGCAACTAAATGAAATGCTTTTGCTGTGGAGTCATAGACTATATTCTCAAGTTGTGCCATTCGTCTCTGACTGCGTCGCTCTTATTCCTACAGTTTGAAAGTTGAACGGAGAGCATGATTGGTGCAATTTGACAGCTGGCCACGGTCACCCTGACAACCGTATCCCAGAATAAACCCATGGCTGTGGAAAGAGACAGATAGCAAAAGAGGACGACAGACTGGCCCCTCAGGAAAAGAGAAACTAATGCTGTTATACTCTCAACCTGATCAATTTACATAAGAGACGACACACAAGAGGATGAAAAATGACATTTCGTTTCATGAGCAGCGGATTACTGGAATCACAAGCAAATCCTCATCACCAATATCAAAAGAGGGATTTCTCTGGAATCAGGATTGACCTACTAAGTACAAAAAACTAAATAAACAAGCGCAACTATTCATAACTACCATAGTGACATTTGATGAGGTTTGAAAGTCTGAAAGTGAAAGTACAGTGGTGTGAAAAAGTGTTGGCCCCCTTCCTGATTTCTTATTTTTTTGCATGTTTGTCACACTTTAATGTTTCAGATCATCAAACAAATTTAAATATTAGTAAAAGACAACACAACATGCAGTTTTTAAATGTTAGGGGGCAACACTTTTTCACACAGGGCCATGTAGTTTTGGATTTTGTTTTCCCATAATAATAAAAACCTTCATTTAAAAACTGCATGTTGTGTTTACTTGTGTTATCTTTGACTAATATTTCAATTTGTTTGATGATCTGAAACATTAAAGTGTGACAAACATGCAAAAAAAAAAAAATCAGGAAGGGGGCCAACACTTTTTCACACCACTGTATGTCCAGAATTTTGCTAGTCATGTGTGGTGAGTGAAAGAGAACTGTTTAATGGTTTATTATCTTTTCAAATTAATGATATTTGAAAAGTATTTCTGATGTAAACCTCAAGAAAAGTGGTTTTAATACCTGTTCCTACACCAAAAATATAACAATATATTTATATTTTTTTGTTGCAAGGAATTAATACTTTTTTTTAATTATGCATTAAATTTCATAAAGAGTTGACAGTAAAGTTCACATTTATAATGCTACAAAAGATTTCTATTTCAAATAAATGCTGTTCTGTAAAACTTTCTATTCATCAAAGAATCCTGAAAAAAATCTATGATGGTTTTCACAAAAATATAAAAGTATTCAACACTGGTAATAATAAGAAACGCTTCTTGAGCAGCTAATCTGCATATTGTAATGATTTCTGAAGGATCATGTGACACTGAAGATTGGAGTAATGAAGTTGAAAATTCTGCTTTGGTCACAGGAATAAATTCCATTTTAAAACAGATTCACATAGAAAAATTGTTATTTTAAACTGTAATAATATTTTACAATATTAACTGATCATATAAAGGCAGTGTTGCTGAACAAAAGAGACTTCTTTCAAAAACAACAAAAAAAATTTAGGAAAATCAACTAATAAATGGCGTATAGTTGACTCCGTATATTAAACAGGGATCCAAGACACATTTTTAAGAATGTAAACTGACACACTTCGGCATTAAAGAGTTGTTATACCAAGCTTAGGGAACACGATAAGGTATTCAGCATTGCATTGTGGGCAGGCGACACGTGCGGTGCTGTTGCCCCTCTGTTTCTCATCAACCCAGCGCTGAAGACACGACTGATGAACCCATTTAGTGGAACCACGGCAGCGGCACGGACGCACCCACTCCGCCGTACGGTCATCCTCATCTGTGGCAAAACACACCCAACAACTCCTGAAACACACACACACACACACACACACACACACACACACAGAAACACATCAGCGCTCGGCTCAGTGTTTCATCTAGGGCAAAGTACAACAACAGAAAGGTGAAGAGAAAGTTTGTCATGTAACTGTGTAAAGTTCAAGGCTCCAGGAGCTATTTTTATAGTTCAACTCTTAAAAGTATCAAGGGGACAGTTGGCACAAAAAATTGAAAGAGGCAACTGCAGAGTAATATAGGTCAGTGACTAAGCACAAATGAAACTCCACCTCAAAAGAGGAAGAAAAAAAAACATGTTATCATTTTAATCTCACTGCGGTTTTTTTAACAACCTAGCTGTCTAAACCAATGTGTTCAAGATAAACTGGTCTTATTTACTAAGGTCTTAGTATATGCTAATTACTCAAATTATCACAATTGCATGCTCAATCACACATCAGCATTTTTGCTGAGAAAAGCCCACAAATTAAGATAATTTAAAGACTAAATAAAATAGTTTAATTTACTGGGGTTCTAATGAATTAATTACATAATATGCCAATTGATTACTCAGAAAGATGACAAAATTGCTGTCACTCCTTCAGTCTTTGTATTAGAAACACTCACAATCAAATTAACTGCATGTACGATCACATATTACTTTGTTTGCTGAGGAAAGCCCAAAATTGTGTATATCATCGTGGCAAATCACTGAATAGAAGCCAATATTGTTTCATTTTTCGTCCAGCATCTAAACGACAATGTCTAATGATGATCCTGTAAATAATCGATGTCAAATCTCTCAGTGTTTCTGCGCTGCTGGAGGAGGGATCGAGACTCGGCCGTTCTCTCAGGCTCCTGAGTGAGATTTTCCATTCTGTCTGTTTCTGAATAAAACATGAGTGATGAGGGTGACCGAAATCAGTCACGTGCTTCTCATCACGAACCTCCTGTGATCATCTCAGGACCATCAGATGACAATCCCAGACCCAAACAAGAACACATCGATTTGTGCTTTTATGCACCTTTGTATCTTCTTTAAAACATGCCCTGGGACCTGTTTCATAAAACAAGTTTACCAAATAAGCCAGGCTTATTTCAATTAGTCTGATGTATTGTCAGTTGATTTGGTTCAAAATAAGTCTGGATTATTTGGTAAACTTGTTTTATGAAACAGGCCCCTTATTCTCAACTGAAACAATATCTCAGTTTAATGTACAAAAATAATTTTTGGTGCTATTTTTGAGGAAAAATGTAAACTTGGTAAAATGGTTCAATTAAGCTTATTGGTAGGTGAAAGCACAACCGCATTAAGAGAATAGTTCACCAAAAAATTAAAAAATTGCTTACAATATACTCACCCCCAGGGCATCCAAGATGTAGATGAGTGTGTTTTGAATAATTTGATAATTAATGATAAATTTATTACATGCACAAGTTTTTGCTTCACAAGATGAAGGACTGGAATGGGTTATTGTGATGTTTTTATCAGCTGTTTGGACTCTCATTCTGACGGCACCCATTCACTGCAGAGGATCCATCGGTGAGCAAGTGATCTTCAAACCTGTTCAAACTCATCTACATCTCGGATGGCCTGAAGGTGAGTAAATTTCGAGGTGAACTATTGCACAAAAGTAGTGCTGGGCGGTATGAGCAAAAATTTATATCACAGTATTTTTCAAAATTATACCGGTTTCACGGTACATGACTGTATTTTTTTTCATGCATGACCGGGTGTTGACTTAGAATGCCCTATTTTACTGTCATGATGAGTGAATATTGTCAAAAAATAGTGACTAAACATGACCCCTTTTAATACATGTTAACCATGAGTCACTCTCCCTTATAATTGCGGCATCGTCTGATAAAATCAACATGCATCTACACTAAAGAGCAGCTATGCAGTTGTTTTGGCTATATTACTGTTTTGTCTCGTGCAGCGCACTGCCTGCGTCTGAGTAACAAACAACAAACAACTGCCAACTGAATGCGCTGCTTCTCTGCCGCTCACTGCACAGAACAGACGCCGAGAGAGGTGACACTTCTCCGGGAAAGTCAGACCTCGTGTTCGCGGGACAGCACTGGCGAAATCTTCCAACTGAACCATAGCTAAGGTTTATCTAAAAAAGTCGCTAGGTTTGTCAGTATGAATATTCTATGAAAGTTGCTAAATCTAGTGCTAGAGTCGCACTCGTGTGTGTGTGAGACGTGGGAGCTGATGGCAGGGGGCGGTGGATATTTGTGGCGGTCAATGTGGATATTGTGGATGAGTTCTTCTGTGTCATCACGTTCTATTAGTTCTACAGCTTCAGTTTAGGAACTGTCACGCTTAGTAACACATACAGCTGTTCCCTCACCACAGTGCAACAGTGAAAAGGAACCCCTTTCAAATAGTGTCGCGTTCCGAACGTTGTTTAAGCGGCATGCACCGGTATTGCAGTATTAAAAAAATTCATATCATAACAAAAATAAACACCGGTATTTGGTATGAACCGGTATGCCGCCCAGCACTAGTTTACGTTCCACCGGAAGCACACGTGAGCTCAGCTTTACACAAACTCGCTGATCAGATCACAGACACAGAACAACAACACCCGGATTCTGTTATTATCATTCTCTGGGACTTTAATAAAGCAAATCTCTCACGTGAACTGCCAAAATACAGACAGCATGTTACATGTCCCACCAGAGACAGTAATATATTGGATCACTGTTACACAACAATAAAGGATGCATATCACTCTGTCCCACGAGCAGCTTTATAGGTATTTTGAAAATTCATATCATAACAAAAATAAACACCGGTATTCGGTATGAACCGGTATACCGCCCAGCACTACACAAAAGCACAAAATATTTAGTTACAAAACAAAAAAAGGTGAAAGATGTGTAACAGTTTTTTGGGAATGACAAATGAAATGAAAATTATTTTAGATTGTGTCTGGATGAATTCTCTCATAGATTAGAACAAAAGACCAGAAGCAATATAAAGAGTGACGAAATGATCGGAGATCTTCACAAGATCAGTGCTACGGATAAAGATGCTTCTCTACGTTCCTTAAGAACCTGCTTCTCCTGTTCCTGTAACTCTACCTCCAACATGACAACCATCAGAAACACAATCACCCCCGTGAAACCCAAGACATCTCACCGTTGGCCCTCACTCTAGCACACTTGCATAACATGGATTTACACACTAAGAGCTGTGTTCATTAAGGTGCACCGTGAAAGGTCAGACAACCCGATTATCAGCCAATAAACAAGCTAAAACTAATAGTGCTGTGAAACACAATCTGATTTAGGCTTGTTTGCCTTCACTCAACGGGGTAAAGTTTCAAACTACAGGCTATATTGTATGACACATGACAGCATGATGAGATTTTTGTGGGAGAAAAATTATTCTCAGATACATCGCAATTCTTTTATTAACAATTGTGCTTTAAAGCACAAATAAAAAAAATATATATATACTAATAACATTTTTTTATTTATTTTAAATGTTTATTTTAAATAAATTATACAAATAAATAATAAAATACTACTAATACATAATAAAATAAAATATATACTAATAGCATATTTAAAACAAATACATGAACTATACAAATAAATAAACAACTAATTATCAATAATAACTTATTCCCATAGATTTTTGGGAATGGACCATCTCCCCTTAATGCAAGGTTTAAAAATAAGGATTTTGATGACAAGATTTTTGTTTTGAGGGAGAAAAATTATTCACAGAATAATTATTTCATTAACAATTGTGCTTTAAACCACAAATAAATAAATAAAATATATACGAATATAATTTTGAAATATATTTTAAATAAACTATACAAATAAATATTAAAGTACTGCTAACACATTATAAAATAAACTATATACTAATATATATATACTATAAATATATACTAAAAAAAGAAAAATGATTCACAGATGCGTCACAATTCTTTCATTAACAATTAAATCACACACAAACAATTAAATAAATAAATAAAACAGTTATAATAAATAAATACTATTAATATTTTTAACATTTAGATAAACTACATAACAAAAAATAAATAATGAAATTACTAGAAATTTTCATTTTTATATGACTGGACCTTCTCCCCTTATGCAGGGTAGTTTTTTTTTTTTTTTCCATGTTTGCAAGTTCATGTTTCTCTGACTCAAAATCAAATTATACAGAATTGATTTGCGAGGAGGCGTTTAAATATTCCCAGCCATAATATTTTGTGGCCATGCAAACTAGATCATACGCCTTGTTCTTCAGGAGTGCTGACTTCTGTTCATTTTTACTATGTTTACATAAACATGTGCTTGCAGCATCTTATCTCCACATGTGCAAACCAAACAACTTTTGAATAATAAGGCTAATAAAACGTTGACTTTGCCCAGCTGAACAACTGTGATCATATTCTGTTCACTTCTGTAACTGAAGACACATGACAGAATTACTCTTCAGCACTGTTTGTGATAATATATATGATGCTTAAAATATCTCCAATACACCAGACCATTTCCCATTAAATCATATTCCGGGAACGTATGCTGCAAAAATCCCTCTTAGATGCCCAGAAAACACACTTCTCCACCTCTAGATTCACATTACTACTTGAGCTCTTGCAGAATATAGTTCTAGTGTCTATGAGATACCATCAGGAGGTCAGAAAGTCGATAGCGCTCACCTTTCTTTACATGTTAAGGGCCGGTTACATGACACAGAAAAACAATCTAGACCACAGTTAGGGGGTCTCTGGAACTGATAACCCTGATAATAGTTTAAATATCCTGAACTCTAGAGCCACAACATAAGCTCCTATTTCACACAGGATTAGTTTTCATGAATAAAGTGGCTACTGTTAACTGATAATTAACAGTTAACACAAATGTTCACACAAAGAAAATGTTCCGCCCAAATGTTCACACAAAGAAAGAAGGTGTAACTTTTATTCTCACTGTAGTATTACTGTTGCCAGCCGCAGCCATGTCGTGGAGATGCTGTGTTTCTCGTTGTGAAA